GAGTGACATATAAACAAGGAACAACAAACTGCAGAAGGCTGCAGGAGGTCTCTGAGAAGGAAGGCCTCTTCATGCCTCATGTTCCAGTGCAGGGTGACCTCAGCTCTGTTACCATAAACATTGTGCTCAAGGATATAAAACCCCTTCATAGCACTATGATGTAGCCAGACTTGTAGGCTTCTTATCAGGCCCCCATTAGCTATTATACATAGATAATAAGCTAAAGATAACCACATGTTCTTGTTGTGTGAAACTCCCAAACCGCCACTGTTATCAATCCTTAGAATGACACATCAGTTCCAGTCACCGATTCACTTCTGGCTCACTGATTCACTCCATCATAACCCTCTCTCCACCATAACTGCACCCCTAGATCAAAGTGATTGTAACCAATAAACAGAGTGGATGATCAGAGCTTGGGACCTTCACTGTCTCCTCCAAAGTAATGAGTGATGGCCCCCTGGTCCCACTATCTCTCTTAATCTTTTTCTCATTCCTTTGTCACCACTGAACACAGGGTACCCACAGGTGATGCAGGGCTGGCTCCCTACATTCTGGTGCCCAATGTGGAGCTCATGGATCCCTATGTTCTGACAGCTAATATGTGGGGCTCATGGATTCCCTACTATTTGTCCACTTTTCATTGTCAGCAATTATCAACTTTTGAGCCATCTGGTTTTAACTGTACACAACTCAATCCTCATACCCCTGATGATTTTTAAACAAATGGAAAATATTACAGCTTTTCATGAATAAATATTTCAGTGTAAATTTCTAAAATATAATGCCTTTTTTTCTAAATATAGCAACACCAACATGACACATGAAAATTAACAGTAAGTCGACATTATTGTCAAATATCCAGGGTTTATATTTCCTAACTTTCATAACTTTTGTTTGTTTGTCTGCCATTTACAATCCTAAAAAGAGCTGTAGATTATACTTAGTTACTATATCTCGTAAGTTTCTTTTTACTAGTGTTTTCACCTACCATTATATTATTTTTCTGGCAATCTTTTATTGAAGAAATACTGTAGTTAGCCCTAGATTTTGCTCATTACATTACTGTAGTGCTACTTAATACATTCTTCTGCCTCCCATATTTTCTGTAATTGCTATGAAAGCAGGAAAAGATTTAGATTTTTTGTGTTATTTGTTTTGCAAGGCTATTGCATAGTTGGTCATGGTTATTCTCATTAGAAGGGATATATTGCCTGCTTTACTCTGTTTTTGTGCTATTATCAGTCATTGATGATCATTTCCTAGGTCCATTAATTAATTAGGGATTGCAAAATAATGATGTAATTCAATTATTTCTTCTTAATTTTGATATGGATGCTTCTATTAAAAAATTTTTTTAATCAACTATGGTTAACTGCAGGGCAAATGGCATAGAAAACACAATGAATTGTGTTTTCTTTCTGTTTATTGTTTTTTTTTAAATAACAGGTGAATTTCTTCTCATTATGCAAAGATGAGAATTTTTGTATAATAAATGTTTCATTATGCATGCATGGATTTAAATACATTTGAGATTTTTAATCCACTGCAGTATTCTTTGTGCTGACAATCAATTACCCCATTTTTGATCACTGGGAACAACTTTGGCTTCTGTGCCCTTTTAGCATGGCACCAATAGCCTTTAATAGATGCATTTCTTGATAGCTTAATGGTATACTCCAAGCTTGCCTAGTATCTTTCCTGCTTTGACCTGTATCAACTATTTTTAAAATAATTTTTAAAATTATTTTAAAATTTGTTTGTGTAAAAATGTATATAGATACCACAGTCTGAGTGACAGAAGTGCCCATTGCTATGGGGTTCCTCATTATTCCCTTGCCTCTGAAGTGAAGAGAGCTAGAATATGTATATCATGTTATTTATAAAGTACATGAGTTTATACTGATACTTATAATTCAAATCCAAGTCAACAGAGTTTTATTTAACTTCATTGATCTTATGTCTGTATCTCTTTCTCCAGGCCAAATATTCTATAGTTTTATGACACCAAAATTCACTAACTTGCTTTATCTTCTAAACTGCATACAAAAGAGTCTCAGAATAATACTAACCCTATCACTATTAACATCCTTATAAAGAGTTTAATTCTTATTTTTTTCCTTTATATATTTCCCACAAGGGATGTGTAGTGGGACACATCTAAGGACATTTAATATCCTTAGATTAGTTCCATTCTGTATAGAAATGAAACTATACATATTTAGGCTAATCTGTTTCATTTTACTTTCAATTTTTAGGAGACATTTTTAATAATGTTATTTTATACTTTTATAATTTTCATGGTTCCAAATTAAGATCTACCAAAGTATCTTCAAAGAAGTCTAGATTCAAATGGTGTTCCCTCTAGCTTATTTACACCTTAAATAAGTTAAACTATTAGTCACTTTTTGAAAAAAAAGTTTATCTTTCTAATTTTAAAATATAACCACATACATTATTTTTAAAGTTCTATTTATATATTCTATACTAATTTTTACCTACATACAATGCCTTGAACTATGACCTTTACTCCCTCTTCCTTTGATTTTATTTATTGATACTTTGCGCCATAAGAAAAATTTGAATTAGATGCAAACTTTTTTTTAATCTCCTTTGACCCCCTTTTATCATTATCTGATTTAAAGTAATATCTAATTTCTCCACGTATGTCTAGGAATCATTAGGAATCAAAGAACTCTAATCTAAAACCCCAACTTATGCCTAAGTGATTTTCTTAAGTCCCCCGGAATGTGCATTATGTTCCTTCCTCAGTTTAGCATTATTGTGCATTGAAATCATATAAAATTAAAATCTTTCATTAATGATACATCTAAAACTGTCTTTAACCAGACTCCAGACAAAGAAATATTAACTAAATATTATAACTAACTTCAAAGTTTCATACAACACAACTCAGTACATTTCTGTGACTTTCAAAATTAGTACCTTACTGTCGCTTCCTAATTTCCTTTTCTTTTTCTTCAACTTTCAACTGTTAAATATTGGAGAACTAATGTAAGTTAAAATGAGTTGATACAGTGATTGACAAATGGCAGAAGCAGGGCCGAGAAAAAGCATACTATACATATAAAGGAAAAATTGCAAAAAGGCACATTTTTTTCTGACCCTCAAAATCCTTAACAGTTCACAACTACTTTGCATAATAGTTACATAAATTTTATGTTTCTAATATATTCCTTTTCTGAAAGCCAAAAGCACTTTTCCAAAGTGAATATGCACCGTAGATTCAGTTCTCTCATTTGGAATAATAGAAAATAAAACTTAGTGTTAGAAATGACCTTAGATATCAAGTTTTTTTTTCAAATCTTACTATCAGTGTAAGCCTTTCTTAACAAATTAAAATGTTCTGAAAGCTTCAGTAAATCAGATAAGAGCAGAACTGCATTAAATAAATTTAAAAGAATATTTGGAAATCCCCAAATTTGACATCACTCAGCACCTTTGGAAGATGCCTGAATAATTCTCGAGAGCCATATTAGGGCTTCTTCACAGTGTGGAAACCACACATTTAATTCAACTACTTCATGGTGTAGATGAGAAAGTTGAAGTTAAATGATTTCCCTAAGTAGAACAGTTAATTAGCAGCAGAGCTGATGTTTTAAGTAACTTGAGTACAATGATGTGCCATTTGTATTATTCATGGTACCCTGAACTCTCCTAGAAAATCTATTAAACAATTTTACTTTTATTTTCCATTTTGATTATATAACCATGCCTTGGTTTGATTGGTGGTTCAGTTTTAATGAAAATATTGTATAAGTTGAACTGTTTAAACAAACTAGTGGAGTTCACAGTTTCCAAAATATCTTAATCTCTGTGAATCAAAGAACTTTATTGACTACATAAATATCATACAATAATTTCCCTATGTTATAAACTCTGACTTGTTTTATATAAGTAAAGGCCAATTGTGTAAATTAAAAAGTGTACCTTTAGATAAACAGAAAGTACGTATTTAAAAAGTGAGGGAAAAATAAGGAAAAAGAAACCATGTGGAACAGATTTTGTCAGTAACAACCAAAAGCTACTGAGACAGTGAAATTGTTCAAAATGATGAGTGTCATCTCTTCCTAGTTTCTCTTTAGCACCTGAAATGGTTATTACTTCCTGTGGCTAAATGTCATCTATTCTTATGGCAAACATGGGCCTATAGTAATCTCTAATTATAATCCATATTTAATGTGAAACCAAGAAAGTTATATTAACTTACAATTTACTTCATGAAAATATAAACTTCTTAGAAACAAACATAGAGCACTAATGCTCTAATTTTTTTTCTCTATTTAGGTAAATATTTATTTTCAAATAAATGACAGTGAGTTGACCCTCAAAAGGAATGGCATAAAAGTTAAATAGAGATAGCTTTGAAACCTAACTAGCTGATCATTTCAAAATAAAATCTTAGAAATTTGTCATAATTATAATAAAAAAGATAATTAATATTTATCTAACATTTTCTATGGGAAGACACTGTCCTAAGTAATTTACATGAATTTGTCTTATTTCATTATTGTAAATATTTTAGGAAGTAGATATTGTCAACATTTTACAGATGACAAACTAAGCTTCATGGTCAATGAATGTACTACAGTCTTTATAAACATGATCCTCAGCATAGAGACCTGGGTCAAAAATCTAGCTCTGCTACATTTGAACTCTGAAACAAAAGACAACCTATTACATATCTTTGTCTTTAGAATTCTTGCTCCAATAATTGGGGTAATTATCTTACAGGATTATTATTAAGAGATTATGTATGGATGAACCTGGCCAACAGAAGCATTAAACATGTTGGAAACAATATTGTACTGCTTTACTATTTATGCAAGTATTGTTTACCACTATAAATATTGTTATACTATTTTATACCCTTCACATTTCTATCATCAAAAATACCTTTATTTTTAAGATTTCAATTTTCTTTCTTTACATATGACTAAAAGGGCAAAAAGTGAGTAATCATAATTATAAGTATTCACCATAAGCTGTTTGTTCAGAGATGACATTTCAAAAATAATTTTATTTCCAAACTGAGTCCAGTCTCTTGAGGAATAAGTTGAGTAGGTAAGAAGTTCTACATTGCCAATATTCACAGCCCTAGACCATTTACATACCTAAAAATATAAGAGACATAGAAACAAATTACTATTTATTTTCCTAAAACTGACATTTCCTGAAACTAGTTACTAATCAGTGACTAATTCAAAAGATAATCACTCTCTACAATTGACTCATTTTTAATAGTTTTGGTGGAACCTTCAGAAAAAGGTCACTTACTATCATCCCAAAGAAAAGATTCTAGGAGCCTAACAATTTCTCCCTCGTGTATGATTATTCTCCCCATTAACCTTTTAAATGCAATTATATGAGTTTATTAACAAGAAACAAATCTGTTTAAACGCAAGAGGATTTTTATGACATATGACTTGTCATTTTAAAGCATATTAATCTCACTCACCCTACATTACAGCCAACCCCAAATCATCTTAGGCAGTTCATTGTATGTGCCATTAGCAAGCACAAAATAAAGGTTTATTATTACCACATAAGTTAAATGATTTTTTTTAAATGTCAGTAAACTCTCATCTAATCAGTTTGTCTTCTCTAGACTCAATTATTATTAGCAAAGGTAGTAACACTTGGAATATTGGCCTCTCAGTATTTCACTTAAGATCAACCATTATTTAATAATTCTCTGCAGTAGCATAAATCTGATAAGTACTTCTTATAAATCACATAGAAATTTATATAAATTATTTTTTAATGAGTAAATTATATCAGTAAATTTGTCTTGGTGATGCTATGTTCATGTGGGAAGTGCTTGAACATGGAATATCACAGAAATGTTATTTTTAAAAGAAATAGTTCAGTGTCCTTTCATTCTGACAAATACTTATTAAATATCCAACTGTATTTAGCCTTTAATTAAGCTGAATAATTTTCAGCTTCACTTTCTATTGAGTAGTCTGTTTCTGGTTTTCTAAATCACAATTTATAGTTGTCAAAATAATTTCCCCCATTTCTAAACTCCTTGCTACTACCATATTAATGAACCAATTATTATGAACCCCAAAATACTTGCCACATTTAAACTGCATGCCATGTCTCTAATCTAGGGGGGGCCACCCCACCTCATCACTAACTGGTGGAATCTTAGATATTCCTCAAAGGCACTTTAAATAGAGTCCAAAAGTAGTAGCTCCCTACAGTAAATTGCTAAAATTAAAATAAGGAATACTTAAACACATAAAGAAATAAATGTCATTCCTTTTGTTGTCAGAACCTCCCTCACAAGAGTAACAAATTGTATAGAGGAAAAAGGAATACCAATGGGTGCCTTCCCTGGAGAAATGACTTATATTTTCCCAGCAACTTCAGAGGTGATCACGCATTTTAAAGACTTAGGCATATATTTAATAAATACTGATTCAGTGCCTACAATATACTAACACATTTCTAGAGGGCTAATAATAAGGTAGGTAAACTTACACTCTAATAAGGGGAGAAAGATCATACAAAAGCAAACAAATAAATGAATGTGACAATTTTAGATGACACTATACCCTAAGGAAATAAAAATATGTATGATAAAGTGCTGAAATATCATGGTTACCACAGATGAAACAGTCAGGGAAGTCAGCTCTAATAAGTTGACATTTGAATAAATAAATGTAAAACTAAATAAGAAAAAAAAAAAACTGAATGGCAGGAACAAACTGAATAGCCAAGTCTGAACTGTTCTTAAAATCTCCACCTTCTTAAAATGTATGTGCTTTCCAGTTAGCAGGGCTCTGAACTAGATAAGGATTGAAGGTCAGAACAAAGGCCTCAAGGACTTACACGTAATCCAGGAAGTTCAACCCTGAAAATGGTGACTATGAGATAGATTTTTTTTTAATTTCTTAAATCATAACACAAATATTTAGTAGTGCCTATTATATGCAAAATACTGTTCTAGGCAATTTTTGTTATTAGATAAGTCTTAGCAAACTCAGGACTGGTTTAAGATATCACAATCTGAATTGTTCATAAGCTGATGTATTCAGCAGAGATTCATTGAACTTCATGTACTTAGATAGCATTAACAGGATTTTTAAATTACCCTACTCTTCCTGATGATGTAAAAAACTGTTTTTGACATCCTATCCTTGACATTTTGAAGCAAAAGGTTACATTTCAGAATAATGCTCTTGCCTTTTTTTCTCCCAAATTTGTCACCACTCATTCCCCAGAGCAATAATGTTGGCATTATTAACCATTTTGACAATGCTCACAGCTATGACTTGTTCTCAAATGCTTGCCTGACTCCAGAGAAGAGGGTTCACTACTGGCTACTTAAACAAAACGCTTTTGAAGGACTATTATGATAATTTTTTAAGTGGAAAGTTTTCCAGCATGCTAAATACTTTCAAAATGAAAACATAATATTTATAAAACAGATCAAAAGTGCTTCAGAAAAATTATTACAGGATAGTGACTCAATAAATAACAAAAGCCCATTTCAGGAACACAGCACCTTTCAGCCAAAGTGCTTTATGTATGGAGATAGCTTCAGTCATTCTCTCCAAAGCAGAATACACTTTATATCAGTCATTTATGATGGGAAAAATAAAATGACTGTACCTCACTTAAAACACAAAGAGCGTGTTAGATGACGAATTGTGATCAGTAAAATGCATTTAGTTTAGGATGGCAGTATTCAAGCCAAAAGTTTCATAAAAATTAATTTCATCCTCAAATCAATTATGAGAATGCAAGTCCAAATTGTATAGTCAGTGTAACTGAAAGTCATGAGGACAGACAAAAACCTGGCACAAGTTAAAGGCCAATATTCAGCACATTGACCTAGACGTATTCCTATCATAGCCTTTATGCACCAAAAGCAGGAAAAAGCAAAGAAAAAAAAAGCTGACAACAATACAAAATATAGTGGTACCTATGTCTCATGACTTACATGACCCCTAAGTCCCAAGTAAACAGATGAATACACACTGAAATATTGAAAACTGCCTTTCAATATAAAAATCAAGCTGAAACATGGGTTTGGCTACATGTGAATTAGACTTCACCAAGTAAAGGATAATTATTTTTAAAAAGGGAAGATCTTGTTTAAAAGTACCTTTACTTTTTCTATGGTTTCTTTTTATGTATGCTCAAAAGATAAGATTGTTTTGGATGTTTATTTGAAATTCATGAATAGTTGTATTCTATATAAACAGAGAGATAAATTTCAAAACTAGACATGATGTTATAGAAACAAGCCCATTTTCTTACCTGGTGCTCTAACAACATGAGTAAACCAATTCAGTAGCATATTGTTAAGTGTCTCTATGATGTCATGCTGTGTATTTCATAGATTACATTTCCACAATTATAAATTAACCCCTTTATAATGCCATCTCAATAGTTTACTACTGAGTCCAGATGCTTGTGGAACTAGTTTTAAATATTCCATCAACCATTCTAATTACTTATCTACTCTTTCACATATGGATGGAGGATAAATTGAACTTTTCTTTAAAAATAATTTTCCTATATGGAACTGAAAATCTCCATAACTTCAGAACAGCTCAGATTATTATTTGAGGCATTTCTATGAATTCTATCAATTAATTATATCTTTTCTTGGCTTTCCAGCTGTGCTCCATTTTTTGTCTTCCTTTAAACTCTCTGAATTTCATTGTCTGAATCATAAATATTGGTCCTTCCCATTGCTTGCCATTTTTTCCTGCTCTTTTTTCTTGAATCAAATATTTATATTTTATCATTTCATAACTGTCTATATACTTCTAAAATCTGCTTACATTCTATATTGCCATTTCTAAATTTTTTCTTCACCTCCAGTTGCACATTTTCTTGTTTTATATTTTCAGCTGTTTGCCAATTATTAACTTTTGCTTATTCTACATGTTTCTCAAACTTAATATTTTCAATGAAATAAGCATCTCTTTCTAGTAATGTGATTGGTTAGATATTTAGACTAACTAGGAAAAAGTAAAATCAATTAAACAAAAACTTCTAAAAAGCATTGTTAAGCCATCAAAACCATAATACATGTTCAGGCAGAGATGAGGTGAAGGGGCAGGCATGAGAAACAAGCAGAGCCCTGGAGCAGCCTGTCATCCCGAGTGCATTTGTCAAAGGCAGGAAGTTTTGGTACACACACTTGCTGGGGGAAGGTAAAAATGGTCTAAACTCAGGGCATGGCCGAAATAGCCTTATAACTCAAAATTTATAAAAATATATGTTATATGTAATTATATATGATTAAAATTATTATTGTATATATAATGAGTCATACACAAGTAAATATGACTCAGTAGCTGTCAATTTTATTTATAATGTAAAATTATGCCCACTCATGTTAAGTTATAGCTCACTGATTACACAGCACAAGAAGACTGAAGAAAGAGCAGTGTGGGTTGAGAAGGGTATACAGAGTGTCAGAAAACTGAGACCAGAATTCTGAATGAATTCAGCCTAACTTACTGGATTAAATTTGACAAATTTCTGAGAACACCCAAGGCTGAGTATTACCTAAGTACTGCAAAATTTGGTATGGCTTAAAAAATCTTATACATATGTAATATATATTACATATAACTATATATATAGTTACAGATATAATTATTACATAACATGTAGCATCTCCAATAATTAGAAAAAAAGTCAAGAAGAATATATTGTTATACTGGAAGTACTACACACACACACACACACACACGTATGAAACAATATATGTAGCTATAGTGCTTTACATATATATAGTGCTTCCTACATCGTTTCATATATATGAAATAATATATTTCCCAATTAAGAAGAAATGTATTTTCCAAAAATAAAAATGTTACAAAAATAAAATGCTACAAGCTTACTGTTAAAGTTTATTAATTATAATAGATAGCAAAACATGTAAGAAAAATATCATATATCTCACATTTACAAATAGACATTTATAGTAAATATATATCATATGTAATATAATCTTATAATATTTAATATGTAAGGACCAATATGTCAGAATTAACAATATCATTTATTAAATAATCATAATTACTAAATAATTATTGACTATAGGATGTGTGATTCTTATGAAGTATGGCCAGAAAGTAAA